TCCCCAATTTGCCATCCCAACCCGTTACGAATAATCTCCTTAGTCTGAAGAATATCCCGCCAAAAATGGGACGTGCCTGCCTTCTTTGAAATATTACCTGTTATGACTATTGGTAACGTGACTTTATCTACTCTGTCCAAACCTCTCCATTTAAATATTATCTCGGTAGATTATTTCAATATTTTCTTGTAAATTTCAAATTGATTTTATATTAGGTTAGTGCGTTTTTTTGCTCAATTTAATTAAAGTTTGACAGCTTATAGTTTTTTTACTATAGGACAAAAAGTTTAAAACATGGTTAAAGTTTTAAAATATGACATTAAATAAATTCCGGGAGAAAATGCTACATAGCCTAAAAAAATAGACCAATTGAAGTTAATAACCTCTATTTTATTTATCGAAACATATAGCACTTTTTTGTTAATATACAATCCGTAAAATTTTAACTACCGTATATAACCTTCCTAATTATGGTTACAAATAAAAGCCGCCAAAAGGCGGTCTCATACCCGTTGTTGCATCCATGGACTGCTACATATCATATGTCAAACACAACCATGTGGAATTTGATATTTATTATGTTCTAATACTTTTTCACCGAACAATATGTTGTTGGTTCTGAACCATAAGTAATACGGAGTATATTTTGAGTACTTATGTCGCTAAGAAATTCTCACTTGAACAAGGTTAAACTCCCTAGTGGAGCCTGATCCACTTAATTTGATTCACAAAAACCTTGGAGGATCGGATATGGATGGCCGTTTCTACACTTGGATGTGAACTACAAGTGCATAACTAGGGGGAAGTTGCGGAGGAGGAAACTAACTAAGGTTATACTCCGTAATAGAAAACGTGCACCGGTGGAGTTTAATAAATTAAAGACTATGTACTTAATTTTTACTAATCCATAATATTAAGTTAAACGCATATATTTAATTATGTACTTATACCCAATTTTCTCAATTCCTAATTACTTTTTTACGAATTCAATTAATAAAACCCCAAAATAGCTATCCGCTCCAACAGATACAGACCAACAGCCATCTGCGATGAAGATGACCAGGCCGCTCGCCTGCTCTATTCCGGCGACGACATTCAGGTAATTCTCCATCTGCTCTCCTCTTCTCTTATCTTTTCTTCCCTTGCTGATCTTGTTCTGTTTTGTTCCTATTTTTTTAAAAAAAAAATCCCAAAACTATTTGGTATTGTTTGAACAGTAAATTGAAAGAATGTCACTTTTATACATTATTGCATCTATCAAAATGATAAAATTACTTTGAAATTAAATATGTGGAATGCAATGTTTTTGGCCTGTTTGACAAAATAGTGTCATTTTTATGCAACTCGCTTTGTGAAGATGTACTGAAAATGACATAAGATGTCATTTTATAATTTCATACGAAAATGCTATGTTTAAACTGAACATGACATGTTTTTACAGATAAAATGCCACATTTTTAATAAAAATAAAAGAAATGTAACTAAAAAATTCAAAATATGGGAATAAAAAGATTATTGAAAATTGAGTAAGAAAATGTCGTCTTTATAAAGTTAATAACACAAAAACTGACATTGTTTTGCCAAACAGGCAAAAAAATGGCATTCTAAAGTTTTATAATTTCAAGGGAAAAATAAACAAAATACTTGAACTTTCCTCAAGTGTGAACTCCCCACCCTATACTTATCTTGTTAAAGAATGCACCTCCCACTATTTGAATTTGTGATATTTGAATTTGTGATACCCGTATCCCGTCTTAAGTTCTTAAGGTTTTTGAATTTATTTTTGAATTGCAAGTTGGCAAAAATTCCACGTCAGCTTACATTGAAAACTTCTCTCTCTCAATCTACCCACACAAACTTCATTCGATTGGAAATTTGGAACCCCATCTCACAACTCACAGGAAGCCATGAACGATTACAAGTATGCAGTTAAAAGTGATCTGATGGGGCTGCAATCTGATTTCGAGAAGATGAAAATTAGTCATATATCAAAGAAAATGATTGAAAATGTAATAGCTAGATTTGTTGTTCTTGGTTTTGTATCAGTGTTCATTTATTATAAGTAAAATGTTATAGTAATATACAATATCATATACGAGTATATGTTAGTCGCATTCTGATTTTCTAATGCTTTTATACAAACCTTGACAGTACATGTCTGCAAAATCAGGCCCCAAGTATTTAAATTTTCAGTAACCACCCCAAAACCAGTAACTACATACTATAAAACCAGTAAACAATGAACACAAATCAACACATGATATCTTTGATTGAGTGTTTAATTTGTGTTTAAACAACAAAATAACAATCACATCATGGCCTTTCTATAGTGGTTTGAACAAAAACTAATAAGCAAAATACAAACCAATGCATGGATTTTACATAGCAGGCTACCCAAAAAAGACATTTACAAGTACAAAAAACTGGTCTGCACCACAAAAAACGCCACACCAGCCTACGCAAAAGAAATACCTAAGACTAGTTTGCACAAAAAAGACCCAACATTGGCCTATATAGAAAAGTGGTCTTCATATAGCAAAAAGCATGCACCCCCTCATCTACTGATCGATCTTATTTGTGATGGATGAGAATTTGATGGAGCAGAAGTTGATTGCGGAAAGACATTAGCACCCCTTTGCCCTGGCTGAAATTACAAGAATTAGGATTACATACACACTGTATTAATTGAATAAAAATGTGCATAACTTACATTTATATGCGCAGTAATTATGTTTTTTTTTCATCCTAATTTTTCCCTAATTTCAAAGTAAAATTGTCATCTTGATAGATGTAATGTCATAGAAGTGACAATCTTTGAATTACTGATAATTTTATGACATTCTCAGATTCCTACTTAATAAATAAAATTGAAATCCAAAGACCAAGATAACATAGAAAATTAAAGAGGATGATAAGAAGAAAAAGAAGAAGATAAGGAGGAGGCCGGAGGAGGAGGAGGATGAGGAGAAGGAGGAGATTGAAGGAGAAGGGGAAGGAGGAGAGAAGATGTTGACACCTCCAGGAGAGAATTTAGCGCAGCAACGGTCTTGCTGGAGGTGGCGGCGAAGTCCTAGCTGGGCGGTGGCGGTTGCGTTCTCACTGGGCAGTAGCGGCAGTGGCTTGGCGGTGGTGCCTAACAAAAAAGGCGTGGGTGGTGTCAGCATAGGAGGTGCATCGATCGGAGGAGGTGCATCAATGCAGATGCAGGTTTTTTTTCATTAGGGGCAATTTTGTCTAATCGGTAATAAAGAGTGTTATTTAGGGAATAATAAACTTAATGTCTTATTGATTCACATCTACTATGTTTTAATCCGATTTGGGAAATTCTCTCTCTTTTTTATATAGAAAGCTTGTTATTAAAATTTACAGAATATAAATATGTTACTCTTGCCTCCCACAATTAAAATCCTAGTTTGACTTTACGGTCTTGTAGATAGAAGTTTGACTATAATTATCTATAAATATATACCCACACAATCTACAAATAAATTAACATTTCAATAATACATATTAAATGAAGCACCTAAAACTAAGTTTATTTGATAAATTATTGTTAATTTTGAGTAGTTAATGGTCAAAGTTTTAATAATTTGACTCAAAAGTCAAACTGAGACTTTAACTAGGCTACATAAAAAGTATATTTTTGGTGCATATATACACTAGAGTTGCTATATACTTTACTTAGAATTTAAGATTATTTTGTTCTTATTTACTTTTGTTGCATCACAACTTCGTGAGCTATCTAGAATTTTTACATTCCCGATTTAAATGTGATAAGATTAGAACAAAGAATTGTCATGTGTCACCCCGAACCGTTTTCGGTCATTGGTTTGAGACCGGGATAACCCTAATCCCGAACTATGCACACAAGAATCAAACTAAAAGGTGATTTGTATCTAATTAAACCCCTCATGCATGCAGCTTAAAAATAAGAAAAATGGCACTTTTACTCCCATAATTACTAACCACATTCAAGCCTCATCCCTTTTTTTTGCAAATCTGATCCTCCAATTATTCAATTTTTCAAAATGTCATTCTCGTTCACTTATTAGCCCATAAAAATACACAAGGCAAGGATGATTGTTTTATAAATTTGGACAATTGGGGGATCATATTTACTAAAATAAAATTGGAGATTTCCAAAAATATGAGTAAACGAAGTTTGGAATCCTATTTCCAAAATAGGACTCTTATGTTTTTCTTCCTGAAATAGGACTAACATAGCAGTATTTATTGTCATCTTGTAGCTAGGCTACCAAATAATTGCAGTACTATGTATTCAACATGACAATATTTATCATAATAAATGACAGTTATTTTTCAATCATGACAGTTGCGACTCCTATTTCAAAAAGATTAACATAGTGGTCCTATTTTTGAATTTCAAACCTCATTTACTCCTATTTTGAGCAATTTCTTAAATGAAATACATGGGAATCATATTTCAATTTGGATACTAACTGAGGGACCAAACCTGTAATTTGTCTAACAATAACATAAAATAGACGTAAAAAATAGAGTTTTCATCTAAAAATAACATAAAATAGACCTAAAAAGAGTTGTGAAACTTGTCATTTGATATGTTTAAATAGAATAAATTATAGTTTAGCAAATCTCTAGATATAAGTAAAATAAAGACATGAAATGCAGTAGCACACACTTTATGGAATAAGTGTAACACCCTAAATATTCTGTAGTCATCCTAAAACTGTAGATGAATTAGTGTTCTATTCTCGAAAGATGAAATGCGGCTACATGATTCTGCATCTAATCGATTTTCATTGGAATTATTTGAAATTGCCTATTACTACGTACATATTAATAACGACTTCTATCGCTGGGCATGATGAAAAAAGTAATAAAACTGTTTTGAAATATAGGGAACCCCTCAGTGAAGTAATGTTGTTTCTAAATTCACGTTTAAATTTGCCCTTCATGTAGAATACTCTCCACGGCTTGTGATTTTATCTTGATGAATCATTGTCAAAATTTATTACTCATGACAGAATCATCAATCTTTCATATCCTGCGAAATCATCAAAACAATTATATTCGGCAACGATAAGAAGAAAATGGTGACAACGAGACCCAAGGACAAGGAGACATTATGTCATACTTTACAGTTTACACCAACCATGATAAGAAGAATCAAGGCAGAGTTTTTTACAGGAGATGATTACATCAACGAAGTCATAAGTCGATGATGGTACAGTTTGAAAATAGCGCTGTTTGAACTCTCATTAAATAGCGCTAGAAGTACCAAATCCCGAGAGCCTCTCTTCAATATCGTGACGTTTTGTGACAGCTAACCGTTACTAAATCCCAATGCAAAAACCATGAGAGAGCTAACAAGCCCTGCTACTTCTAGCAGTTTGGTGGAACTTCCTACCGTGATGCAAAAAAACTTCTGACGGCTTGAATGAACTTTTGCATCTTCCTCTTATATAGTTGTGGCCATCAAATCCAATGAAGGAAACAGCTCTAATACCACATGCCTAACAAATGGTCCAAAACAAAATGGAACAGATAGGCATTTGTTGAAAATCTATGCAGACAGAGATATTTAAGCATATCCATATCATATAACAAGAAACCAAACATGATATTGGTACAACGCAATAATACATTAAGCACTGCCACCATAGCATGGACTACATGAGAACAACTATGCTTCTATCATAGCAAAAGCTCTACTCTACATCTTAGAGGCATCATGAACTCATTTATGGTATTCTAAAATTTACAGTTTGCAATTTCCCATCTTTGATGGTGCTTACATCTAATACCATTTGACGTAATATTAATCTCTGCCATTGAAGTGCAGAAAATATAGCAAGTCAAGAATAACAGAGTCACAGAGATCCAGGTACTACAGACTCAGGGTCTTGCTTCAACATTTTAATTTGAAGAAAAAAATATGGACTTATGGACTACAAAATGCATCCCCAGAAAAAACTGACAGATGCAGACACAAACTAAAGAAAAATCAATGCTACCAAACAATAACTATCAACTAAAGGAGATGCCATTATGTGAGTTGTTTATTTATACTAATGTCCCAAATTCGAAATGAAAAACTCCTATTTATACTAATTTTTACTTCTGTCCTAAATTATTTTGTTGTATAAGCCAAAAAACCTGCTAAAACAATTGATGTTTTAAACGTTTAATGCACATTTTGTATTTATCTCCCAGATTTGCCCAGATTGACTTTTTCTTATTAAATGCTATAATACCTGGAAAGGGATATAATAAGAATTTAATGTTAAACTCTCATAGAGATAGAAATTTCATGTCATAATACAAATCAAGGTGTGCACTTTTCAAAATGACAAATACATTAGGACCATGGGAGACAGGGACGGAGCTAGACTGTAATATCAGTGGTGTCAACAACTAAAGTAATATTATAAAAACAATAAAGCATAAAAATATTAATACATAAGTAATTTTTATATTTTAACTCTTAAAAATACGACCCCTTTATAGTTTTGTGGGAATTACTTAGAACATCGGTATCAATTAAATTTCTCGTGTTCATTTTACTCGATCATTCAATAATATTGAATTCATGTTTAGTATTTATACATCAACTAAATCAACACAAAGAAATATACGGAGTATATATACTAAAGTATTACTTCGTATACTACGTATAAAATAACCATTTAACTGCTAACATGGTTGGTTCAAATTTGTCAAAAAAATAGTTCTTATTCTATTGATTTTTGTTTCAATCAAACTTAAAAAATGTTAGATAAAGAGAGTAGACGCTGAGAATATGTGATGTCATTTCTTATATATTGATCTTATTTTTAAAAACTATAGTTTCATTCTTTAAATTTTCAATACATATATACAAATAAAAAAAATTGAGTGGTGTCAATTGACACCACAACTCCATGCTTGGCGCCGTCCCTGATGGGAGTATTGTTTTGCTAAGAATGGACTACATATTTCAAAATTTCATTCTTGATATAAAATGATTAACCTTTTTCCCTGAAAGAAACAAGCCAATGGTTTGTAAAACCTTGGCTATATTGCTTGTCCACCACCAGCATTCTCCTCTTCCATGATCCCTGAAAGGAATACATAAAAATAACACAAGGAGAACCACTCAAGCCAACAAAATTTGTTGGCTCAACCAAATTGGATTTGATGAAACAAGAAAACCTTTACACATTATTTCACACCTGCAACATCCTGAAGCAAATGCACATCTGCAACAGCATCTTTGTTTCCAAGCAAAACAAGGCTCTCCAAATACTTAGTTACATAGTAAAGATGATGGTCACCATATTCCCCATCCGGCACAATGCACGGCTTATCATCCACATAATATATGACTTGACGTGATCCAGAAAAAACCCCTTCATTCTTCCAAGTGTTTAATGCGTATACTATAGGTATCGGCCAATCATTATATGTTGGTGTGAAATCAATTTTATATAACCAAGTCCAGGAGTCAACATTTCCATAATCTTGCATCACCCAAATGTCACAATTAAAAGGATCATACAAAACCATCATACCCAGTGACTCTCTAACTAGAGCAATACTTATTTTTTCATCCCATAGAGAATATGCTAACTTTCTCGGGACGGGTATGTCTCTAAATATCTCTTCATCTATGTCAAATGAAGTGATTGAATGACTAAAGTATATGTAGTCATCCCCAAGATCCTCATCAAATCCAACCCAATGCATCCTACCGTGTAGGATAGCCTGACCACTATACAACCACCTAGTAGGAAACAAATCATCATCGAATCGTCGAATCCGCCACTTCCCTGAATTAAGAGAGTAGATTTCAACAGACATAGGATTATCCATATTCTTCTCATGGACCCACACAACCCTATAATCGCGATCGCTGGCCACACAAAAACCGATTGCATGACTACCTTTCCTTGGAGGAGGAAGAATGGAGGGACGTGGTAACACCAAGTGTCTTCGAATTGAAGGGTTCCATAGCATAATTAACGGGTGAGAATCTGGACGGAGAAAGCATAAGCAAAGCAATCCGTCGAAGCTGCCCACTAATTCAATCTGTGCAGAATTCTTTGGATTGAAAAAACGAGAAAACGTAAGCGGGAATTCCCTTACAGGTTTGACGATTGGTCCTAGCGTGAGATTGCCGTCGAGATTATCTCCATCGATAAGAGCAAAACGACGAGTATTCAGGTCGGTCTTAGTTACACAGAAGAACTGTTCGGTAGCTCCTTTAGACAGGTGTGCTGAGACGAATCCGGGATCCGAAAAGAGAGAAAGCCATGACTTACTTACTGCAGTGAAACGCATCAGAGACTTGACGGGTAATCTGGTGAGGATTTCAATTTTGAGTTCAACCGGCAAGGATGGCAGCGATGGCGGCATTTCGATCGGAAAACCGGCGTAATTACCGAACTTTGTGATTCCGAACGCTTCGAATTATCAGTCTGAAACCACCCATTCAAATTCCAAACCCGAGATGTAAATCCAAATACTTCAACTTTTACTCTGTAATTGCAATTCTATGTACCGATCCCACTTTTCCCCGTTTCTTAACTCTTCATTTTTCTCTCAGCACTAGTGTAGTAACTCTTATGTTTCTCTTTGCAACAATTAATTCTCATAATGAATTGTCATCCTTCTCAATTCTCAGTAACCATATTTAATTATTAAAAAAGACTTTTGCTTTATTTTTCTTATTTTCATTTTTGTCTCCTTCTCTAACAAAATATTAAAATTTTAATTATATTTTTATTTTTCTTTATCTTCACCTTAAATAACAACTAATCCATTTTTTATTCTTTACCATTTCATAACACCACCGTCTAGTACGGAATCAATTGTGATATGTGTAGTATTTGGAAGGTTTTATATTTGTAACCAACTAACCATAACTGCAAATGAAAGGTTGGATCCAGCGCAAATTATACCGTGGGATCGGCCCACCGTGTGGATGGTGTGCCGATCCCTAAACGGTGTAGTTTTGCTTAGTTAAAAAAATTAGATACGAAGGATACAGAGCAACGACACAAACCTGGAAGCGCCAGATCCAGGAGAGCCCCCTTCTCGAACTCGCTCCCCATCCATAGACCGCCATCGTTTCCGCCGTTGTTCTACCTCTAATTTGCGCTCCGTCACCATCGCAGCATCATGAATCACCACCACAGCGGACACCAGACTCTTACTCCCAAACCATGCCACAAGGTCATCGAGGATGAGGGTGAAGGGGATACAGATGGGAATCAGATCAGGCAAATGGATCTATGACAATTCATAGATTCAGATTATGTTGATGGTATATGGCCAATTCTTGGGGAGTAACAGGACGAATGATATAACACTGGAAATTGATTTCAAGTCTGAAGCAAGAAAAGAAGAAGAAATTATATTTTGATTAGGCTCAAGTTACATTTGAAAATATACCCAGTTACATTTTTTTGTTCCCGAGTTACATTTCTTTATCCGTGATTTACATCATTATGTACACGAGTTACATTTGGACTCGTTTTAGCAAGTTACATTTTGTATAAACGTGAGTTATATTTTCTATCAACACTAGTTACATTTTCCATAACACGAGTTACATCACAAAATAAACTCTAACTATTGAAACAAAAATTTCATTTTTTTTACAAAATAAATGGTTTTTGGCAAAAAAAGATATTTAAAAAATATTTTTATGGCCTTAATATTAAAAACAAAACATATTCACTATTTACGTAAAGTAATTGAGCAATTAGACTTCTTGTTTTCATTGTTTACATTGAAATTAATGTTGTATTTCTTATACTCCGTATTACACAAGTTACATTTCGATTTGCCTGAAGTTACACTTTTTCTCAACGTGAGTTACATTTCTTTTCACGTGAGTTACATCACCCGGGACAAGGAAAAAAAAAAGTTACTGTTCACGCGCGTGAACAGTAACACGCGAATTTGCCTTTGGGAGCACCATGCTCACCGTGGGTTGCTCCCACGGTATAACAACTCTGGATCCAGTATTTAAAAATTTACGGAATTCATATTAACAACAAATGTGCTATCTATTTATTTTTATAAAATAGGGGCTACTAACTTTAAGAGGCCTAATATTTTAGGCTATATAACCATTTTTCCCTATTTTATATTCATACATTTTTTAATATAATTTTTCATATTCATAAACTTTTTTCCTAAAATATATTTTTTGTATTCATACACTTCTCTGTATTTGATAAATTATATCTTCATATTAATTCACTTTTTCGATTTACATTTAATAAATTATGATATTACATGTATAAATGATTCTTAGAGTTACATTTGATATTATATATAGTTACATCTTCTTATACACAAATTATATCTTCTTATGCGCGAGTTACATCTTCTTATTCGTGAATTACATCTTATTATATGTGAGTTACATCTTCCTATGCGAACGTTACATTTGGAGTTGCTTCAACATGTTACATTTTGCATACACCTAAGTTAGATTCTTTATCAACTCAAGTTACATTTTTACATAACGCGAGTTACATCACAAAATAAACTCCAACTATTGAAACAAAAAATGATTTTTTAGCAAATTTTTTGGTTAAAAAAATTATTTTTCTTTGAAACATTTTATGGCCTTAATACTAAAAACAAAACATATTAACTATTTACGTAAATTAATTTGAGCAATTAGACTCCATGTCTTCATTAATTAGCTTTGATAGTATATGGAGTTACATCTGCATATACTCGAGTTACATCTTTTTTATGCGTGAGTAACATCTTCATACGCGCGAGTTGCATTTAGACTTGTCCTAACAAGTTACATTTTGTATACACCTAAGGTAAATTTTTCATCAACGCGAGTTAAATTTTCCATCACAACATAAAGCGCTGCTATTGAAACAAAAGAATCGTTTTTTTTTCAAAGATTTTTTTTGGCAAAAAATGATTGCTTTGCGAAAAAAATGATATTTTGGCCAAAAAAATTGTGATTTTAAAGAAACAAATATTATTTACAACATTAATAATAAAAACAAAACATATCCAATATTTACGTAAAGTAATTGAGCAATTAGACTCTTTGTTTCATTAAAATCAATGTTTTATTTCTTATAATCCGTATTAGACAAGTTACATTTCGACTTGCTTGCAGTTACATTTCTTATTAATGAGAGTTACATTGTTTTACACACGAGTCACATCAGTCTGTTACTATACAATGAAAAAATAAAAATAGAAGTTACTGTTCACGCAACTGTTCACCTGCGTGAACAGTAGAACGCGTTTTTGAGTGGGAGCAGCATGCTCACCGTGGGCTGCTCCCACGGTATACGAACCCATACGTTGCAAGTATAAAAGCAACGTTTTGATTAAAACGTCTTTACCCAAACAACCCCAGTAAATTAAAAAAAGCTTACACATCATCAAATTAAATGTAGTTGATAAAATACGAAGTATTTGTTAATAATTTTAATAATTGTAATTGTAATTATGTTAAAACATTACATCAAAATGATTATAAAATATACTCCGTAGTTCAGTCACAAGTTTGCCCACATGTTAAAAACTTGGTATCTACGGATATTGTTTTACCTCTCTAGGGTTGCGGCAAGGCCAACCACGAGTTCGTTCGTCCGCTGTCGGCCTGTGCCGAGGAGCGGGACTGGATTTTTAGGTCAATTGTTTTCTATTTGTAATTAGGAGTCGGAAGAAAGGGTGAGTGGGACTGGATTTTCCGGCCAATTATTTTCTATCAATTGCGCCCATTAATGGATCAGCGAGTTATATTCCTTATGTCGAGGTGATAAGCTCTGAGTTTGGTTCGAGGGTCGGCGATTGTCAGGAATACTTTTGTCGGATTATCTATTATTTGAATGATGTGTTATCAATTTAAGTCTATTTCTTCCTCAAAAAAAGTTTACCCACATGTTTTATTTAGTATTACCCGAACTAAAATTGAGACAAAAGACAATGATGAAGTTATTGCTAATATTAAAATTGTGTGATTAATATTAAATTTGTAAAATGTAAATAAAGTAAAAATGAAGTACAACAACTCATATATTACCAAATATAGCATGACTCAAAAACATAATTGAACGGGTGAAAAATGTAAAATGAGACAAAGACAGGAGAAACATCCTTAACATATGCTAAATAACTAATAAAAAGTTCAATAATTAATCTAAAATGTATATATGTAATGCTATTGTCATACTACCTCCGGTTTTTATTAAGCTTCACACTTTGACTTCACACAAAATAAGGAAAGAAATTTGACTTTACTGTAATGTACACTGTTACGTTGAGGCACTGTTTGACACTGTTGAGACACTGTTGAGCACTGTTTGACACTGTTTTGATGTAGATTTCTTTGCCAAAAAAGGAAATAAGGAAGTGTGAAGTTTATTTTAGACCGTCCCAAAAAGGAAAGAAATAATTGCCAGTTTATGACAAATGGCTTTTCAAATTCTAAAAATATAACCCCTTTTTTCTTTTTCTAAAAATGTGACCCAGGCACCATTCTCGTTTCTGTTCGTCTTCATCGTCCCTACTCCAAGCCCGCGCGCTGCTCGAAGAGGGCTCGAAGTCTGCCAGGTCACCGGCTCACCCAGGTCACCGAAGTCTTCATCGCCTTCACCCAGGTCACCGGCTCCACCTTCTGGCGGCCGCCTCTGCCGGCATCGCACCGCCATCTTCCCAGGTCGCCGCCGCTCGCTAAACGTTTCATCACCTTCGTCGCCTCCGGTCATTTCTATATCGGCACCTTCTCCGGTGGTATCGGCATCCCCGCCACCGAATCTCCCAGATCTTCTTCTTCGCGCAGCAAGGCAGTGGGACTGGGCTGAGATCTGTTCGCTCGCCGCCAGCTTCTATTCTTCTTCTTCTTCTTCTTCTTCTTCTTCTCGTTTTTTCATATATGAGGTGAAAGGAAGGCGGTGAACGGCGGCTAGGGTTGAGATGGTGGTGATGGGCTGGGGTTGGGGCTGAGATTTGCTGCCTGGGGCTCAGATCTCTTGGCTGTGGCTGAGATTTGTGCTGGTGATGATAGGCTGGAGGTTGGGCGAGTGATGATTGGGGTTTGGGGAATGAACGTTGTGGGTGATTGGTGTTGAACGGCGGGAGTGAGTTCGTAGGGTAGGGAAGGCCGAAGGATAGGGGTATGGGCAGTCTAGGGATGAAGACCAGACGTTCAATGTCCTTCTTTAATTCGGCAGGAGTGAGTTACGAAGGTGGTCAATGGTTGAACGACAGTGGGGTAATGGTTGACAGACGAAGGGCTGGTGGTATTGTGGTGACACAGGTTGTACAAGGACCATGATGAGGGAGGGGACACAGGTTGTACAAGGCCGACTGTGGACACTGGACGGCCGGCGGTGGTCACCGGCCGGACTGCGGTCGTCACTAGCCATGTCTGGGTGGGCAGATTTATTTGAAATATATGGTTTGATTGTAATTGTCGGAATCGGGTGTCACTGTGGCCGGAATCAGGTGTCGTTGTGGTCGGAATCGCGTGTCACTGTGGTCAGAATCGAGTGTCACTTTGACTGGAGTCACTGTGGTCGGAGTCACTGTGGCGGCGGGGCAGTCACTGTGGCGGCGGGGCAGTCACTGTGGCGGCGGAGCAGTCACTGTGGTCGGCGG